AGTGGTGGTGAACAGCTTTTTTGTACACAAACAACCATAACAGGGCCACTCGGCACATACCCACCTGTGACTAGTAGGCCCTCAAGTAGACATTAGTTACTTTTTTAAGAGCCTCACCACTCAAGAAGATTGATGCCATTTAGGACAAAACAGTGCCTCAACATGTTTGGTACTCTGTTTGCGACCAACATCACTCCTTTCACCATTGACACACAGCAGCAGCAGTATGTGACTTTAACATGATGCACTGCAATAATTCACAAAGACTGCTTCAGCAGCACCTTCCAAACCCATGACTTTCATTGGCTTCAATGATAAGGGAAGAAGATACATGGTGGCACACCATCTGCAGTTTTCCCTCTGAGTCACAAACAATCTTGACTTGGAAGTATATTGCTATTCCTTCAGTGTTGCTGGGTCAAAATCATTCCCAACAGTATTCAAACCTTCCCTGTACCCCAAAACCTGTAAGAAGTGGTTCAAGAAAGCTGTTCACCACCCTCTTCTCCAGGGCAATTAAATATAGACAATATATGTTGGCCTAACCAGTAATACTGATGTCCCATGAATGAAGAAAAGAAAGGGCGCAGGGGCCGTTCACATACTTTCCCAACCAGACTTAATAGGATTTGATCCCTACCCAGCAACCTCCCAACAAATTAAGTACCCAATTCATCACCAAACATGCGTCAGGGAGGGCATTGATTTCCATGCATTGCTGCATGGCTTGGTTATTCCATGGTTCTTTGAACATTCAAAGTCTGGTTTTAAAGAGTATTAACACTTCTTGGAAGTATTTTGTTTCTGAGACTACTGCATGCATCGCAAATAGTCTTAAACGTCTTCTGGTAATAAATAAAGACATTTCATTTAGAAATTATCTTACCAAAACTCCAAACCCCCAGAAAACATGAATCCTTCTTTGTGCATGCAACCTCAGATGAAAAGTTAAAATACTTAATTATAGGCTAGTCCAATTGTTATAAGCATAAATTTTTAAAGAAGTTATTCATATAACTTACCATATTTGGCTTATACTTTACAAAATATCTTGAAGAGGTGACTTAAGTCTAATTATTGTGCTTACAATATTTACACACAGTGTGAAGAAAAAAACTGCATTTGGTGTGTATAAGCAACGGGCCACAGATTTCAAGTTAGGTTCAGGAAGGAGTTCCTTCAAGAAAAGTCCCTGGTAAAATTGTTCCTCATTTCTTTTTTAATGAGCTCAATTTTTTGTCATGTAGCTTGCACAAAGCCTTGATGTAACGACTACGTAGCCAGAACAAAAATTGTTTACAACTACTTTTCAAGAGGATGGTGTCCTTTTAAACTAATTTTTCATTGAGTGTAAAGGTAAGCCACGTGTATATTCCACACAGTATCAGCTTCAAAAGACATTAATGCCACTTGCTCTTCCTGTGACAAATGAGAATTGTAACACTCCACTTCTAGCTACATTTATTTCAGATATATCTCACAACTATTTTGACGGGCCTGTAATATTATTGCAAATTAAACGCTAGCCTGAACCGGTAATCATTTAAAAGCTATTGACAATGAAAGCCCAAAGAAGGTACAGTGTTCAAGAACAAAAGCAAAAATTGGTAATTGAAGTAAATAGCTGAGATACATTTAAGCCAAATAAGTGCATGAGTATGAAATGAATGTAATTATATAGTGATAGGGTTAAACAAAGTGGAATGGATGAGGCTTGTACAGCGTAAGAGACAGAATAGATAAGTTGGGTCAACTGACATATTTCTATGCCGTAAAGACACTATATCACAGTCAAATTTTAATAGAATTCTGTGACACATCACCACAACAACATACCTATCATGTTTATTGATATTTTTTAATCAACCTGTTCAAATGTGTTACAATATATGGCTGGAGCTAGTGGGATTTCAACCCAAGGACACCACCCTGCACCACTTTCTCCCATGTTTATTCCCAAACATTGGTAATTTTGCATTCCAGCAGTGTCCATCATTAAAGAAAAAAGACTGCAAACAGCTTGAGAATATAGCATTTCATCTGCAGCAGTGTTTGGCTATGTCATAGAATGCTCCTTTGATGAAACATGGATGTAAGTTATTTATTTATTTAGTTAGTGTCGCATACATCTAGAAAGATATGGTGAAAAGTGTTACATCGCTGCAATTCAGTGCCTTTTCATTTGCAAAACTAACAAAAATTACATAAATAGAGTTCATCTTCTGTACAAAGTGTCTACAAACATAGCTCCAGGCCTTTGGCAAGGTATCTACAAGATGTCTCAGGTCTCAAGGAGCCTCCACTCCAGGCACCACCACCACCTTAGCAGAAGACACACTAAGTCGACGCTGTGGGCCTACCCCAGCCAGGTGTCCTCTTCCAGGCACCACAACTGCCGCAGCTCACGATCCACTGAGTCCCCATGTCCAGGCTCCGGGCCTACCACAGCCAGTAGTTCTCACTCTGGACACTGCTACCGCTTCAGCTGACACCCCGCTGATACTGCTCCAGCTTCCACATGATGTCAGAAGATGAAGAAAAGAAAAAAAGAAGACAACAAGGGAGAGAGAAGGGAGCGGGCAGGCTCAGGAGGCCAAACACTATCTATCGTGCCTACGCCACCATCTGGACGTTAGTTGTTTTTTGAAAAAAATTATATGTTAATGTTAGGAGACAAACCCTCAGGAAATCCACTTGTAAACACAATTCTGAGCTCATTTTAAGTTCTGACTCGAGTTCATGTGCAATCAGAAACCGGAGAAGGTGATATTGGATAAATTAGTTTTGATGGCTTCCAATCCTCTCCTCCAACTGATCAATTGACAGATACTGACAACTTTCAATGCCAGCGTAAAAAGCTGCTTTTCCTTGCAAGACATAACAAGCTGAGTCATGGGCTAGCGTGCCTTCACCTCGAGACACCAATAATTGGCATCTGTCCTGTATCTATTTCCAGGCACTGTCACTAACATTCAATTTACCTGATACTCTTGTTAATATTGCACATTGCCTGTCATGTGGAGAGATGTTCTGAAGTGTTAATGAGTTTAAATTTCCCTACGTGTACCTCATGCACCAGTAGTTGAGTTTCCTCATGCATCAAAGAGTGGATTGGTGGGGTTACACTGTTACACCACGTGCCATGTAAACTCCATTTTGCACTGCAACATTATTTAATTTTTCTTTCGTCTTTGCCCGTCGCTTCTTTTACCTTTGTGCAGACTTTGACAATGATCATGAAAACAATTTTTTCAGCCTTTCCAGTCAAAACATTAAAGTGCAGCCACTTAACTTTAAGTCATTTTAATTTCATAGGCCTCCCTTTCTAAAGTTCCCTGCACAAAATTTGATCTATACCTCAAACATATACAAAATATGTAAACTGATTGACACCTTGGAGTAATAAGGTAGAATGGAAACACATAGTAGCATGGAAACATTGGTGAATTTTTCCATCTGGAATCAGCCACTAAAAATATTGAGAGATTCTGAAAATTTAATTAATCTATTGTTTGCTGAATGTAACCACTTAAAAAAGCCAGAAATTTAATTCAGGTTTACTTTGGAACACAGCCGAAATGAATTGGTGCAGATACACCTTTACAAATACTAAGCAGGAAATTTAAGACTTGCACCGAATCAAAGGAACAAAACTCATGGCTTAACTCAATTGTTATGATCCACTTGAAGACATTTAAAAAGAAACTTGAATTTACAGTTAATAGCTCAATGGCTATCACTACAAAATTCCACATTTAAAGATCTTTACTCTGGCAAACAGACTGAAAACAAATACTGAATAAACATAATTTTTTGTATGCAATTTATGCTTCAAACTACAGAGAAGAACTTTTAATAAAACTGAAAATGCCTACTATCAGATACGTTACATTGTCATTTAAGTAGGTATTTAATACTTTCAGAACGAGTCCAAAATGAATCTCAACTCTTGAGGGTTTATCGCTGATCTTTTCTTTTCCTGGCCTGGAAATATTTAACTCCAGAACTGTCTTTCACAGCCTGACTTTTCCTGGAGACTTCTTTCTGTAGTTAAAGCTAAGCAAATCTTCCAGCCTCAATTTAGCTCCTCATGAATATCTTTCCAATATGAGCACGAACTCCATCCACACATCTGTATGGTGAACCCCACAAAAAACTGTTACCTCAAAGCTACCTCAGAACCTTCTGAAGAGTCACTGGACCCAAAACATTAACTCTGATTACTCTCCACAGATGCTGCCAGACCTGCTGAGATTTTCCAGCAATTTCTGTTTTCTTTTGTTTTCCAGCATTCACAGCTCTTTCAGTTTTTTATCACGTAATATGAATCAGATGGGCTTGTAACCAGGCAGAAATGTTGACTAGCTACCCTTCAGTTGCCAACCCTCTCTTATCCTGGTAGCAAATGGACTGTTTAAAGCAGATTGCAACCTGATATTTTCAATACATTTGTAGTAGTTTGGAGGCGGTCAATCCATACAATGTTAGCACAAAGATTGTTGCTATGGTTTACAACACCTTGTGCATTCTTTGCAGTAAAGCAAGTAATACCAGTAGTCTCTAACAATCAAGCTATCCAGGTTTTCTGTCAGGCAGGCTGCTAAACAGATCACACAAGCCTGCTCATTTTACCTTAAATTAGAGTGCTAAAACCTAACAACCTTTTGAATATAATACTTTCTTTTCAATTAAGCTATTGTAGAATCCATTTTACATTCAGACACTGAAAAATAATTAGGAAGATGCAAAGACAGATAGCAACAAATTGATAAAATAGGCACTGATTTTATCGTGTTTAACTTTTAGCATAAACTAACATTTAATACCCAATTTACACAAAAACTTTGAAGGCTAAGTTCCTGATTTTATGAACTGTAAAAGTTGAGACTCAAAAGTTTACAAGAAACAAAAAGTTAAAAGGTACATAAATTAGTACCTTACAATTTGATTTGGCCAGTTTACAGCATTCTCAATCTGAACTGACTCAGTACGTGACTAACCTTGGTTATTCTTGCACAATATTGTTTGGTTGTAGGTCCCTCTGCCACACGTTTGATTATTTTCTGTCACGCAGAGGCTCTGTTCAAGCACATGCCAATGATAGCAGACTGGCTCCTCACAATGAATGGCTTCTACAAGATGTGGGCACCTTCCCACATTTCCAGTGGGCTCTCTGATAACATGACGTCTTCTCATCTTAAAGCCTACAATTGAATTGAAACTTACAGTGAATAAATATACAGCACTTAGAATAAAAAATAGAAATAAATTTCATTTATCCATACTGGTGCTGCAATATAACATTTTGATTGGTATGTCTTTGCAATATTCTTAAACCTTCATGACAAGAAGTGACAGCATAACCTTCTATAAATCTCAAAATGCATTACAGCTCTCCTAAAATCCAAATGTCATCTTAATTTTCAATCAGCCACATATATTGCAAATAAACATTGAGAGGTATGATAATAGTAAAAAAAATTATTGATGAATGACCTGGTCACCGTGAGTTTTTATAGAAGAAAATATCATACAAAAGCTGTAAAAGACACATTTAGCGGTGTCAATTAATGGAGAACCTGTACTCCACAAAAAAGGTTAGCTGCAAGTCCTTTTCCAACGTGATAACATTCTTTGGGCTGATTTACAGAAGTATCAAAATCAACACCAAAGACTTTGCATTTCAAACAATCCTACCCTTTAGAAATAAATGTGCATAAATGCCCTGCAGAAGTGGCTATCCTGCAAACAGAATTATCCAATATCATCTTACGGAGATAAAACAAAGCAAATTCAGCAATGTTACAAACCTATATCAGCTTGTTAGTAAGCCTTTTAGAAAAGCATTGAGGCTCACTATTTGGTTGACTAAGAATTCATTACAGTTGGCAGAACTTTTCCAGACTTTCAGCAGCGTGGGCAATAGTGAGAAAGTTCAGAAATATGAGAATAATAAAAAAAAAATCAGATTCCTGACATTGAGATAAATCATTTCTGATTTTACCCTTAATGTTTAAGCAGTGAGTTCTGAAATACACTGATGACTAAACTTATTTCCATGCATTTTAATAGCTAATCTGTCCTTATTTCTATGCAGTTTATCATTTTCACACTTTCACTGTGAAAGCTTATGGTGCAAATTCTTGATGCAAAACTCTAGCTGGTTACCTAGCACAATAGGAGGTGATGACTTGATGTCACTGGACGAATAATCCAAAACCCTAGGGACACAGGTTCAAATCCCATCATGGGAGATAGTGAATCTGAATTCAATAAAATCTGGAATTTAAAAAATAAGCAAAATTAATGGTAACCACCGTCCATTGTCATTAAAACCTATTTGGTTCGCAAGTGTCCTTTAGGAAGTGTTACCTGGTCTTCCACAGATATGATTCAAATACTCAGCAATGTGATTGACTCTCAAATTCCTCTGAAATGGCCTTAAGTACCAACGGCAATTAGGAATGGGCAACAATTTGGGATTCGTGTAGATAAGTCAGTGCAGACTTGAAGGGACTTTTTCCTTTTATTCATGCATGGGATGTGGGCGTCGCTGGCTAGCCAGCATTTATTTCCCATTCCTAGTTGCCCTTGAGAAGGTGGTAATGCATTCTTTTCTTGAACCACCACAGTCTATACGATGTGGATTGACCCACAATGCCACTAGGGAGGGAATTCCAGCATTTTGATCCAGCAACAGTGAAGGAACAGCGATATATTTCCAAGTCAGGATGGTGAGTGACTTGGAGGGAAACTTGCAGATGACGGTGTTTCCATGTATCTGCTGCCCTTGTTCTTCTAAATGAAAGCGGTCATGGGTTTGGAAGGTGCTGTCTGTGGATATTTGGTGAATTTCTGCACTGCATCTTGTAGGTTGTACATGCTGAAGCTACTGAGCATCAGTGGTGGAGGGATTGGATGCTTGTGGATGTTATGCCAATCAAGCGGGCTGCTTTGTCTTGGATAGTGTCAAGCTTCTTGAGTGTTGTTGGAGCTGCACGCATCCACGCAAGTGGTGAGTATTTCATCACACTCGTGACTTGTGCCTTGTCGATGATGGACAGTCTCTGGGGAGTCAGAAAGTGAGCTACTTGTCGCAGTATTCCTAGCCTCTGACCTGCTCTTGTAGCCATTGTGTTTACATGGCAAGTCCAGTTCAGTTTCTGCTTAATGATGACCCCCACTTAATAGTAGACAGTTCAGTGCTGAGAACACCATTGAATGTCAAGAGACAGTGGTTAGATTGTCTGTTAATGATGATGATTATTGCTTGGCACTTGAGCTTTTCACTTCACCTGCCTACCACTGTCCACTATTTTGTTGCAATGCAAATGGATTAAGTGCCTTAAGCAGGTGATAATTGGCCAACTAAGACTCTTAATAGGCCAAAGGATAGCCAAGATAGTGGACACCTTACCCATCTACCCAGTTCATGGGAAATTACTCAGCAGGAACGGCAAGGCAATGGACGGATCACCTGATATACTTTACACATTTCTCTTGCAGAATACATGAGAAGAATAATTAATGTGCTGCACTCAAAGCTGTTGAGAAGAGTAACCTGAATCACTATGGAATAGTTTACCATTGCTTTGAATTTCTTCAAACATACTGCTAAATTCTCCATAACAAAATTTAACTGAAATGAAACATTACATGATGTATTCCAATTCCTCTAGCAGTATCTCCTACTGTTCACTTCATGCAAAAACTAGCTTCTGTAATTTTTCCTTTCAATCCTGACGGGGCGGTTCTTAGGTCTACTAAAGAGAAAGCTGGCCATTTTGGCTCACCTTCCTCCAATAATTCAAACCTCATGATACTATTGGTATTTTATTTATAAAACACATTTGCTTGACTGAATTGTAACTTGCATAAAAAATGTTCTAATATATAAGTCACCAAAACAAATGGATCATTGGGCTGAAAATATCAGATGGAGCTCAATCTGAATAAATACAAGGTATTGCATTTTGGTATAACAAACGAGAGTAGGACTTATACAATTAATATTAGGACCTTGGGTTGTGCAGTAGAACAGAAAGACCCAGGGGTTAAGGAACATAATTCACTAAAGTTTGTGTCTTATACAGACAGCATGGTTAAAAAGGCATTTGGCACGCTTGCCTTAATTGTTCAGTCCTTTGAGTGTCAGAGTTGGGAATCATGTTGAGGTTTTACAGGACATTGGTGAGGCTTCTTCTGGAATACTGTATCCAGTTCTGGTTTCCCAGTTATAGGAAGGATATCAGAGTAAGCTGGAGAGGGTTCAGAAGAGATTTACCAGGATGTTGCCAGTTATGGAAGGTTTACATTATATTGAAAGATTGGATAATCTGGGACTTTATTCACTGGAGAATAGGAGGTTGTCTTTCCCCCCGGATGGGGTATTTCAAGACCAGGAGACACATTTTCAAGATGATAGGAGAGAGATTTTAAAAAAGATGAGGGGCAAATTTTTTACACAGCGGGCGGTTCACATGTGGAATGAACTTCCTAAGTGAGCGATGGACAATTACAATGTTTAAAAGACATTTTGATAAATACATGAATAGGAAAGCTTTGGAGGAATGTGGGCCAGGACCAAGCAGGTGGGATTAGCTTAGTTTGGGATTATGTTTGGCACGGACTGGTTGAACCAAAGGGTCTGTTTCCATGCTGCATGGCTCCATGAAAACATGTGACAATTATGTACTAATATACGTGACAAATTCAGCAGTTACAAGGGAAATACTGGACAGGAAATACTGGACAGGATATTAAAGGAATGACCATTAAATTAAAATAAGTTTCATTTACAAAACAACACACAATTCCTACATTAAAACACTGATGTGTATATACATATATATATTAATATATATAAGAAATTCCATTATTTAAGTACTTAAGGAATCAAAATATGTCAGAAATTGGACTGTTCAGCACCTTTCCCTTCTCTGGGGGATGAGTTTAATTAAACTTTTGAAATGACTCAATCATTATGGGCATGCAGGTGGTAACTATTTCTGAAACTGGGATTGCACGAGGGGTTTTCCCAACTCAGTCCAGATATTAATTCTTCTAATTTCTGCAGTTGCAAGATTTGTGCCATAAAAGGCATCATCATGTTAGGGCTTATGATCAAACTCAGCACAGTTCAATCTGATCTTCTTGCTTGTGAGACATCAGGGTGTCAGAATAGTGTATTTGTTCAAAGGGACAATATAGCCAGCGTAAATCGTTATGACTCTATTAGGGATTAAAGAGAAACATGAACATCCAATAATTAACAGACAAAGCTGTATCTTAAGATTTCAATGATTTTAAACTAAATCAAACTTTATTGAATACAAAACAATTAAACAAAACCAGCATCACTAACTTAACATTATAGTTTACAAAGGTTATGCTATAAACCCATTTCTATTTTTACTCTAGCAATTTCAGTTTCTGTTTGTTACAGATCTCCAGCATCCACAGTTCTTTGTTCTTCCTTTATGTCGGTCACCTCCCCCTCCATGAGTTCTCTTATCTCACAAAATCTTGAATTTACATTCATTGTCCTCAGTATTTCAATGTTCTCCAAAATTCAAGGTTTATGGGATCCATTCCATTAGCTTCTGGCTAAGCAACCTTCCAATCATCTTTCAAGATCTTGTGATTGCGAACCCCTCAATTTTTATCCTCACTTTGCTCACAGATATATGTCTGTTCCCACATCTTCTGCACAGCCCTTTCCCCAATCTGAGACACAGGGGGTTTTAATTGAATGCTTGGGATTACATGGCCTCAAAATCCGACACACTGATTGTGGTCAGTGAGGGCTAATGTTGTTTGAACAACGATTGGCATCAAATTTTAAAGAACTTCCACTCTCTGGACTGCAATAAAAACATGGTCCTAATGATCACATCATCTGCAAGATGTATGCCTCTCAACTTCACCCAATCTTTAGGCATCTCTTCTACCTCTTTGACTTTCAGACCACTTTACCCTCTCCAAATGGATGCATCCATGTGTCATCATACTCACAGGAAAAGTTATTTCTAACACACTTCCAAACTACTGTCAACATTTTTGTAAATTCAATTGATCCCAAAAATCAGCTTAGGATTCACATTGTATGATTGCATCCTTTGGATCTCACTCATTGTCTAACACATTATATTACTTCCAGTATGTGCAGCCTCTCCAAGCCCAAACTTGATATCATCAAATCAATATATTATGATTTATTTCAGTTTTTCCATGCTTCTGAAAACTTGGTGGCATTCTACAGAATGGGTCTTTGTCGATTGTAATGTCTGCTAAAGTGAATTTAAAGCAAAGAATTCTCAATCTTATACCAATAATTTTGCTTCAGTGAATATGCTTTTAGGCTTTCTTTTATTCCATTTTTGTTATAATCTTCTCTTCCATTTACATTTTTGACCACCAAACATACTTTTTTGATCAATGACAGAAAAGCTCACGTGTTAAGATACAAAATAAATGGTCTCCTATTCTACCACTAAAATATGCATAATTATTAGTTACAGCACAGCATGCCCTGAAACATTGTCCTTAAAAGCCGTTTGCGATTGACCATTTAGTTACAACGAGTGCTGAATTCAGTGCAATTTGGTGCTCCTTAATTGAGGGCTACAACTGGACTAGGACTGTTGGAGCATACTTTATGTAAGGTCTTTAAAACCAAGTGGGAGAGAAAACTTTCATTATATCTAACTGTAACAAAGAGTAAAACAATGGTGCAATATATCTCTCAACTTTGAAACAAAGTGCTACTGATTCATTAGCATGATTAATGTTCTGCAAAGCCAACATTTGTACCATAAAAATATTAAATGTATTTTTCTGAATCCAATCCATATAGCTGACACCCCCTCATCTATCCAGGCAGGAACGTAACAAATCCCCTAGGTTCAGTTAAATGTTTAGTTTCATTCGCCGTGTGTAGCTGTGCTCTGTCAGCTACTGATAATTATTGCACAATGGTTAAAAAAAAACCTTTTGAATTACAGCTGGTTAATGTTCATATCATTCACAGAAAATGATGGGTGTTAAATGGAATACCCTGGCGAGAAATGCAACTCTGCTAAGGAAAAGTTGAAAAGCTTTTGCTTTTCTTAGAAACAAATGAGATGACGACAGAGAAAACTTGGAATTTACAACTCTACAAGTTATTCCAGAATTCAAGTGAAATATTTATAACTAATGAACCTTTATAACACTTTTTGTTGACTTATTACATCTAATTCTGATAGCTGGTGCAGCTCATTCTAAATGGAAATATTTTGATTGAAAAAGACATTGAATTTAATATATTTTGACATGAATTTAAAACTATGACTGAGTTTTCTAAATATGAAAAATATTGCAAGTTAAAATTTTATTGCTTGGAAGGTTGGTGAGAGTATCATTACAAAGACTCAATTTAAAATGAAAAAGTGAAAGGCTGAAACCTTTAGTCCGTTGAGGATCCTGGCAGCTCTCAGGGATGCAGGGTCTCCATGCCGACCAGGCTGAAACTGAACAGTCAGTAGGACAGGCAATGGTACAAAGCTGTGAAGTAACTGGCATTGGTCCTATGCACAGGCTGTGATCCATTGGTCTGAACACTGAAAAAAAAGCAAAACTAGGTTATTATTTCCACTTTTCAACAGTGTTAAAGTTTGCTGTTTCAGTATTGCACTGTAAGAAAAAATTTCTTGGCTCAGAAACACAAAGCCCAAAGCAATTGCAGGTTAGACAAGCACAGTGTTTAATTCTATAGCCCTTCCAATTTTCTGTTTTTCTAAGTATACTCATTCAGGATGGGTCATGGCTATATAGAATGAGGAAATTGTACAGCTCTCAGCCAAGTGACTATTTTTAAATTTGTGGTCAGATTGTAAGGCATCAATTTTAAATACAGTATCTGACACCAGAGTGGCAGCCAACAAATTGCAGGTGTGGGGAGACACACAACAGCATTTCAGAGGAAAGCAAACAGAATCTAATTAAAAGAATCTCTTGCACTTACAGGAAAGAAAACTTATGAGCAAAAACTACCACAACATTTCCCAGTAGAAACAGGATGATTCCTCCAGAAAAATGCAATGAGTTCAGGATTACTCTATAACTCAAATCACATGTAAAATAAATCCTAGTCATTTAGCGTGGCTAACAAGGTCTTGATCTAGGTTTCACAACATATAACCCACCCAGCGGTCAGGTTGGATTGGGTGAGTGAGTGAGTGAGATGTGTTGGTGAAGAAGTAATAGAATATGAGGAGTTAGTTGCAATGGAACGGAGAGCTTGCACAATCTTTTCATCCCCAATCTCAGTGCAATTTAAACTGCAGGCAGCATGAAGATCCCAAGGTGAAGTCCATTTTAAATATGCAAATTAGCTGGTGATGATGCCATCGAGACAACAACTGAGAATGCTGGAGAAATTCAACAGCTCTTGCACCATTTGTGAAGAGAGAAACAGAGTTAACACCTTGAGTGCATGTATGACTCTGGACGGGACAGAAATTTAAAAAATAACATTTGTGTCCTGGAACTACTGCAATATTTCAATGAAGCACAATGCAAGCTGGAGGAACAGCACCTCATTTTCTGCTTGGGTAATTTAAAGCCTTTCAGAGGTAATATTGAGTTCTACAACTTCAAAACCTGACCGCATGATTTCTGATCTCTATTTTTCTTACATTGTCTCCCTACCTCAGCCCCATGCCTAGTCTTGATTTTGTCTTGTTTACTTTGCTGTCAGTTGACAGGACCTATTTTCTCCCTTTCACATCTTAATTCATACCCATTTTATATCTCCATTTCCATTTCACTACCATGATCAACCGGATTTTCTCTCTTTCACTCCAGGCCATCTGTTGCCCTTGTTCCTCCGCCAACTCTGTAAGAAGTTTTAAAAATATATTTTCCAACCCCTTCAGCTCTGAAGACAAGTCATTCCGGACTAGAAACATTAACTTTGTTGCTCTCTCTATAGGTATTGCCAGGCCTGCTGAATTTTTCCAACATTTTCTGTGTTTGTTTCAGATTTCCAGCATCTCAGTATTTTGCTTTTATTATGATTGCATTGAGGCCTGTTCTGCCATTTTGATCCAAGAGCTGAGTGAGAGGGTAGTGCTGGCATCTCTATCAGAAAAAATGTGGCAAGAACATCAGAGTCAGTAATTGATTAGCATGTTAATCTCTTTTTTTAAAAGTTGATTTTAACTTGTTTCTATTTTGAGGGAGCAGTCAGCAATATTTTCTGTCAAGTTACATATGAAACATTTACATTGTTGTTGTGGATTTCACTTGTGTCGTAGTGTTCGGCTCTGACACCACTGAATTTTCACCTTCACAGAAATTTTGAATTAAATCAACAGGATAGTCATCGTTGATTAACAGAGATCCACCTCACATTGGGCTCATTGTAGCATTATAAAACAACACTTCATATCAAAATGTGTTAAGTAGACTGAAAGAGCTGAGTAAATGTTTTTTAAAAATTCACAACAACACTTTAAATGACTGAAATAGCAGCTTTCAAATTTGCCAAGTATTTACATAACTTCAAGCTGGAAGATGCAAAGTTATCAGAAAGCAATTGTGCTGTGTGGAAGCAGCCTACAATCAAACTTAAACAAAAATTGAATTGAATTGAATGATTTATTGCCACTTGCATCTTACAGTGAATAATGCAGTAAAAATAATAATTGCAATGTGGCACTATTTTGAAAAGTTTGAGAACAAAAAAACTAACTGAAAGAGTCTATTTCTGTTCTGCCACCTCCACCATGAGCTCACCAATGCCTCCACCCCTCCTCGACTGTCTCCCCGCCACTGTGCTGGGCCCACCTAAGTCAGAGTCATCACTGTTTAGGCGCCGTCTCTTCACTGCTGGGACCACCTCGCTGACACCACCGCCAATGCCAGGTCCCATGCTGAAACCCTACTCAGTGTGGACCATCCCTTGAAGTACTGATAGACATTAAAGTATAACCTGTTTATTCAGGTTGGTGTAAACTCAATCACTTTGAACAATAGACCCTTCCTAAGGGGAGGGCTGCAATAACCCTTTTATCCAATCACATTGCATGATGGGATGATGGTTTCGTCTGTTTGATGTGATAACATTTAGTGACTGGCTAGTTTATGAGTGGAGGTTGTGTGATAGCAAGCATCCCTTTATATGAAAAAAAGACATTGCTTTTCTGGAGTCAGAGCCAAACAGACAGCGTAGCAGCTCAGAACAGAACTCTCCCTTTTCCAGCCATTGTGCTGGTGTATGCACTGCCTGAATCTGGACAGTTTCAACAACACAGGTAATGTCTTCACTACAAAGCAAACAGCTGCTGGCTTTAAAGGAAATGACAAAGATTGTCCACAAAAGTTTTAAATTGTCTCAATGCAGAATTCAACCAAGAGGGGAAAAGACAAGCAAGGTACCACTTCTCCCTGATTCTGACAATTAATGTAGTGCTGATCACTAAACAACTTTCATACACAGAAAATGCAAGGAATATTACGGAATTTAGAAAATAACTTGTAAATCACCTAAGTGATTTGAAATAAAAGTTAAAATATCAGTTTATAAGATCATGAGGGATATAGATAAGGTGCATAGCCAAGTCTTTTCCCCAGGGTAGGAGAGTCCAAAACTAGGGGGAGTAGGTTTAAGGTGAGAGGGACCTGAGGGGCAACCTTTTCACTCAGAGTGCGGTGCATATATGGAATGAACTGCCAAGAGGAAGTGATGGAGATGGGTACAAATACAACATTTAAAAAACATTTGCACAGGTTCATGGATCAGAAAGGCTTAGGGGGAGATGTTCCAAATGAAGGCAAATGGGAATAGCTCAGTTTAGGAAACTTGGTCAGCATGGACGAGTTAGGCTGAAGGGTCTGCTTCCATGCTCTTTGACTCTATGACTCTATATAAATCAGTTAACTATAAGCCAGTTAGCTTAACATCTGTTTTAGGAAAGTTTTTCAGTCCATAAAGGATAAATTGACAGTGCATTTAAAAAAACATGATGTGATCAAGTAGAGTAAGCATGAGCAAATGTGGGAGAGCAACAGTTTTTGACTGGAGGAACAGCAAGAAGGTACATGGTATGATGAGGTGGTCATAGAGTCATAGAAATGTACAGCAGGGGAACAGACCCTTTGGTCCAACTTGTCCATGCCGACCGGATATCCTAAATTAATTTAGCCCTGTCTGCCAGCATTTGGCAAATATCCCTCTAAGCTGTTCCTATTCATATACCCATCCAGATGCCTTTTAAATGTTGCAATTGTACCAGCCTCCACCACTTCCTCTGGAAGTTCATTCCTTACATGCTCTGCATGTAAAAATTGCCCCTTAGATCTTACCTTTTAAATCTTACCCTTCTCACCTTAAACAATGGCCTCTAGGTTTGGATTCCTCTACCCTGGAGAAAAGATCTTGACTATTCACCCTATCCATGCCCCTCATGATTTTATAAACCTCTATAAGGTCACCCCTCAGCCTCCAACACTGACTACTAGTGCTGTTTAGTTTTAAGTATCTCTGGACATCAGAGTTTAGTCTAAGAAAAATAAACAAACAGGGAAGTTTACAGCTGACCTTGGAGAAACTCAGTATGGAGAGCTCTTCACAGCCGGGGAGCAGCTAAGTGTTTTTTTAAAACCTAATCATACCCCTATTTTGTAAATCTATAATAGTGAGTAGGTTTTTTTTAATATGTTTTATTGAAACTTGTCTCTAATTTAAACTTTCTTTTAAAATACAAAACATAGGCACCAAGATATCCTAGAGCAGTGTTTTCAGAGCAGTAAAACTGTTATTTTCTGGGTCAGTAGAATGTTAAAGTGCAAAGATGGCCTTTAGTACAGTGATGTGCTCTTCCTGTCAGATGTGGAAGATTAGGGTCATGATCACAGGATGTGAGAGTCATGGTTTGCCAGGGCCAAGGCTGGACAAGAGCGAATTGCTGGGTGAGGAGACAGGGCCAGGAAGAAGGACAGGGGATGAGAGAAGGGAATATTGAAGGGGTAGGAGAACAAGAGATAGGCGTTTTGCAGGGGTTGGGGGGTTAAAGAGAGAGAGAGAGGGTAGAGAGAAAGAGAGACAGGAGAACAAGAGAGTGGGATTTTGCAGGGGTTGGGGGGTTGAAGAGACAGTGAGAGAGGGTAGAGAGAGAGAGAGGCAGGACGCAGGGTCTGAAAGGAGGGTGGGAAATGAGACACGGGGCATTGAAAGGGTCAGAAACAAGAGAGAGGGGGAGGCTGAAGAGGTTGAGAGGAATAGATGGTAAGGGAAGAGTCATGGAGATGTGAAAGTGTGAGGCAGTGAAGGTAAGGGAGAGAGGAAGAAACTGAAGAGTGGGGACAGAAGAGAGAGAGGGAGACAGCATGGTGGCGGGGGAAGGAAACAGGAGGCTGCAAGTTAGGGGAAGGATGTTAGAGGGGTTAGGAATGTTGCAGCAAAAAGGATAGAAGGAGGGAGTCTGCAAAAAAGCGTGAACAGTTTTAAACATGTCAACAAATGACTGCTTGGTAAACTAAAATGGTAGGAAATATGGAAATTACTGAGGTAATCAATTCTTTGTAAATTAATGTAGAACCTCTAGCTTCAGGATCC